GTCCGGGTGCATCAAGGCTCAGCACTCTCCCCACTTCTTTTCGTGGTCGTCTTAGATGCAATCTCACGAGATATTCAGAAACCGAGTCCGTGGACCCTTCTCTACGCAGATGATGTGGCGCTGGCCAGTGAAGATAAGAGCGACCTTGAGCAACAGGTACAAGCATGGTCTGATCGCCTGACAAAGTTCGGACTGAAGTTGAACATCAAGAAGACCGAGTACTTGACGAAGGATACAAATGAGTCCGATTTCATTAAGATCAGTGGCATCGAGCTCACACGCACAAGAGCCTTCAGGTATCTTGGATCGGAAATTGCGTTTGATGGCGATCTGACCTCAGAGGTAAACTCTCGTGTGAAAGCAGCATGGGCGAAATGGCGCTCGATGACTGGGATTCTCTGCGACAGGACCATACCTGAGCGCCTCAAATCGAAGATTTATAGAAAAGTGGTCAGACCAGTAGCGTTGTACGGAGCTGAATGCTGGCCTGCAACCAAAGAATTCGAAGCCCGTCTTAGTGTGATGGAGATGAAAATGCTTCACTGGACGGCCGGTGTCACGCGTATGGATCGGATTTGCAACGATGACATACGCAAGAGATTCGGCGTAGCTTCCATAGTTAATAAGATGCGAGAATCCCGTCTCCGATGGTATGGCCACGTACTTCGCGCGAAGTCGGACACCGTCCGTAAGACTGCTCTCCAGCTTGAGGTGCTCGGCAAACGACCTAAAGGACGCCCTAGGCAGCGCTGGCTTGACACGCTGCACGCGGACTTAAAGATAGTTGGTGCCCACCCTGATCAGGCATTCGACTGGGATAAATGGCGTAAGAAAATCAGGAGAGCGGACCCCGGGGGGGGCGGGGGGGGGGGGTATAAGGAGCGGGACAAACGCTAAAGAACAAGAAGAAGAAGAAGTAACCTCTCAGTTGAACTCAATAGGGCATTTTCGATGTCTGTTAGGTCGAAATTGAAATCTTTGAATCCAACTATTGTAGGCATTCCCGAGAGACATAGCCTCTTGGCTATATACTTGGCGAATGGGCCTCTGCAGTTCGAGCTTTTTAATTAGAGGTAAAAAAAAGAGGGGCTGTCGGAAATGCTTGATTTCGTCGACCTCACACTCTAGTTTGAACACTCAAATGTTAGTGGGAAGAGAAATATCACGAACACTAAGAAGACTCGTATAGGGCAAGGAATTTTTGCAAAACCGTTCAAACTTGATGGAAAAACTTTTCCTCTTAAGCGCGGTATTTCAAGTGAGAAAAAAAACGCCATTACTTATAGGCCGACCCAGTAGTACGGAAAAAAGAGGTTAAAGTGTTAAAAACACCACGGGTAAGGCCCTCGTTGTGCCTTGAATGATGGCTATCGGACTAGTCTGTAAACAAGTGCTGGGCGAAAAGACATCGAGCTGTGCAAAAGATGATTTTGCGACGAGGGGCGAGAAGAAGTCCTAGACTTTTGAGTGGAGCCCGTTTGGAGAAAATCATCACATTCAAATAAAAGCCCTGGCCCTCTCGTGATTCACTTTCGGACGCTTTTTGCTTTGTAGAACTGTAAAAATTGTCGTCGTATACGCGGGAGGGATCCTGCCTGTCCAGTAATCACGGAATGTGTATTTAATTCAACGGAAGTTATGGTTAAGGATCGATCCTCCATGTGATCAATTTTCCTTAAGATCTCTATGGCCCTACGACTACTCCGTGAAGAGTTTCCGAATACAGCAGCTGTGCGGGAGAAGCGATTTAGCATGCTTCGAATGCTTTTTATGGAAAAGAAACAACTTGCTCAAGTTCCAGAGACAGCGCGTTTCAGGTGCGTTCTTAGATGCTATTCAAAATATCTTTTTGGTTGTCTTTTTTATCGATTTCATGAGGATCCTCTTTTTTCATGAACTTTTTTTCAATTAACATACGTGAAGTAACTTTGCTGACCCTCACAACCACAGGCAATGCATTTTTCTGCACTCATGATCATCACATCTGCCCACCGACTCGGACAGATAAGCACCACAAAAGGGCGCTTTTATGTAATCGGTGGAGTATTCATTGCAATAGTCGTGAAACCTGGACCAGTGACAGCGGCCCGCTCAAATCGTTGGTGTGCAGGGCGAACAGTTGGTCGAAACGCTCTTCTGTAAACGAAAAATGAAAACCTGGATGTAAAAGTCCAGAGGAAGAACGGAAAGAAGTCGTGGCCGAATAGGAGTCCCTACTGTTCATCTCGCACACGAAAGTGGTGGATGAAATCAAGAGATGATTGTACGAGCGCTGAGTCTGGGCCATTGTCGACCTTCCTCGCGAGACTGACATTTCTGCCACAAATTTCTTTCTTTTCGAGGAAGTTGCGCCCGGGAATTTCAGGAAGGTTCGTGTTTGGGTGCCTTATTTTCTTACACATACAGAGCCAACAATAAAAATATTACATGCCTAAGACGTCAATCATGACTATGAACACAGATTTCGGCCATAGACGAGATATGGGTGGTGTTCCACCCTGAGCCCAAAGTCACAAGCATCGGCTCTGAGCTAATGCAGGTGAGTGGCTGCTCCAATAGCGTTTATGAAGAGTAACGTGGATCCGAGCTTTGAGTTGTCTTTTCAGCGAGTCTTTCTAAAGAACAAAACCGTCACTACCTATGTGTATTGCCTGTTCCTCAGCGACCATATTGACAAAAGGATGGTACCACACGACTACAAGACGGCCGTCTTTGTTCATCGCCTTCCCAGGTCCCATCTAATCGTAGTAGTCGGCATTATTTACGACAACTTGTCGGTCGCCGAAAATGAGTTGAAGGCAAACGGTAAATCCCTAAGATGTGTGGCTTCGATACGCCTTGCAGGACAGTATTCTGTGCACCTGGGGAGGCGCAGCGTAGCGCTTTTTCCAAGGAAGGTACCCTTATAGCGCCCTATCCAGCTGCAATATAGCGACCTGGCACCAGCCCGCCCACAAGTGTCAGACCGATGCTGATGCTCGTATCGCTTCAGAAGTACAAAGTAAAGCGAAGGGACTGATATGAAGCGGCTGGGATGTTGCATGGATATATGTGAAATTACATGCAGCTGTAGCGTTCGTTCAGGGCGTGGTGTGGTTTTGGAAACGGCTTCTGGCATATCGTAGGGGCACAGGGGATAGAAAGGTGAGCTTCCTTTTTGCTGCATGCTCTTGAGAATACAAAAAAGTGTGAAAATCGCTTGATTGGTGGTCGAAAACACACAGCGACAAAGTTTTGCTTTTCTATATATTTTATATATATATATATATATATATATATATAATATATATATATATAAATATAATATATATATATATATATATACTATATATATATAGATATATATTATATATATATATATATATATAGTGGCGTTCAGTTCATGCAAGCTTAAGCTTCATGCAAGCTACAGACTGTCTGCCGCCGCAACCTGGCGAGGCGTTTTCGAAAAGGATTGAATGGCCTACTTACGGCGCTTCCGCCGCTGTTTTCTCCCTAAATTTATCACTCACCGACCCCAATTGGTAAAGCACGGCAGCCGTAGTGCGGCTCAACCTCTCTTGCCCTGCCCTGTGCGCTGAGGAATCCCCAGCGAGGAGTCGTGTCTGGTCATTGGAGGGAGACGGGAGTTCCTATTTGGTTCGAGAGATTTTTTTGTTGAGTCTAGGTCATCCTACCCGAAAACGTGGGAGATTTCATCTGAATAAAGAGGAAAAGCGTAGTGCAAAACAGATAAAAGACTATAAATTAAGCAGATCCCTCTTTTATTAATGAACCGCTCCCAATGACCCCGGAGCAGTAGGAACACTGGCACCTCCGATTTTTCGACCAGTGCGAGCAGATTGCTCTGTCTCGGCGAATGACAAAACGTCGTAGCGCTTGCCGTTGGACAGCACCTTCGACTGATCAGAACAAGTGGAATTGCACGGCTGTAGGTCGGGCGAATAAGACGATTGGACCTAGATCGGATGTGTTCGAGCAGTGTCCAACGACGTTACCCGGGGCCAGTCAGTGTGGCGAGCATTGGTGACCTTCCTTTTAATTGTTTAGTACCATCCATTAGTCGATCTGATTGTTGAGGAACAAGCAGTGTCCACCGACAATGGCGGTTTTGTTCTCTGTATAAAACCGCTCGAAAGCCACTGTGGAGGAATCTGTTACTATGTCTATCTACTATCGCGATGTTCCTCTGTTTAATGAAGTCATTTCGCACCTTGTTGGCTGTGCCTCCCACCCTAGGTGCGAAAAATCATTAACGAGATGCGATCGTGCCATAGTAAGCCTCTCCTTTCCAGAGTGCTTGGCTTATTTTGAATTCATACCGCAAAGTACGAGGCGAGGCATAAGCGTAATTAACGACGTGTGAATGCACCATCGTAAACCTACACGCAGTGGTCAGTCATAAGAACTGATAGAGGATGGGGATGAGAACATTATTAGTGAAAAGTGAGTGAATGAAAAAGGTGTAGGGAAGCTAGCACACTAATAGCGCGCGTCACGATAGCAACATGGCCAGGGCTCGAACAGTTGGCGTAGGACGTGAGAGGGAGTCATCGACGGATGATGTCAGAAAGTGATAACTCTAGATAAAGGCTGATAGCGATGAGTTTGCTCAACGAAATCCGCCATCTTATTCATAACTAGCTCACCAGCAATGTAACTGATTATCAGATACTAGGTGGTTGGAGCAGCTCTCGTATTCCCTTACAAAAAATGACAACATATGCTCCCGGTAACCTAACTTGGTTTCGAATGAGTGGCGGATGTTGGCGGACAAGCACATGCTGAGCAGCCACAAGCGAATGTCTCAGTGATACCGTAACTATCCTCAGTTAGCATCATTGGGAATCGTTTGAAACGTCCTGCTGCTACTTGCGGAAGTTCATGCAGTAGAAGGACCCTGTGGTGCAGAGAATGCATGAAGCATTAGAAGCTCTCAGCCGTGGCAACACAGCATAAAACACCCTGAGCTCACCCAGACACATTGAAAGATTGCCTTGATGCAGCATAGTGACGCTGTGCCGAGAGATCCTTTGAGTTTTTATGGAAGTATTTTTGGAACCAACAAAGAGGAAACTGGCGAAAGGATAAGCTTGCGGTAGGTGGTGAGTCCATTGTCCTAAAAACCACCGAAGGTCATCTAAAGGTATCGTGTGATGCATACGATAGTGTGTCTAGTCAAACTTGTTTGTCCATAATTGCAGAACGAAAAATGATCGTCGAAGACTTGTTGTAAAAGTGCAGCAAGTACTGCCAGCTACCTTTATACTTCCACCTGCTCGACTTGAACAATTGCTGAATCAAGGTTCTTTTTTGCTATGTACCGTTGTCCCTTATTCTGTCACTTGCAGTTACTTACAGTGAAATTTAGCACGTGTCACACAAGTGTCCAGGTGCCGAGTTCATATGAGCCGCGGAGAGTCAGAAGGCCTGGAAGCTGCAGATGTTTTTGTAGATCACAGCTGCCAGAAGCACCTTTCGCCTTTCTACGTCAACACTCAGGTCTTGAACTTAACCCGATTGTTTGTTGTTTGTTTCAAGCGTCCAGTTTCAGACTATCAATGACCACAAATTTGAAGTTTGGTGCGTGGAGTTTTCTCCAGATGGAAGCCTTTTAGCCAGTTGCTCGAGATCGACTCGCATATTCATCCACTCGGTGTGATTATTTATTCACTATTCGGAGAGGGCTCCAAATTTGTTTGATGGCCTCAATTCGCAGAGCGCTTCGTGGAGTTGTACGAATTTTGTTTTTTTCAATTGAAGCACTTTTTGTCGGAGACAGAGAGAACGTGTCATCTACCGTAGCGGGTAATAGGCCTCACGACGCCACACAAGTGTTTCTTTTTCTCAATGGATGACTTTTGCCAAAGAAGCAAGCTCTCCTGTGCCAGGAATACAGCCGCTTGGACTGTCGTTCCTTTGTTCCCTCTATAGGAGCGCATGTAAAAGGCTCGCTGTGCTATACTCTTTTCAAAAGGACATACTATTCTGGAAAGAGCTAGAGAAATTGATTGAGGCTCACGGAATCGCATCGTGGCAATATTTAAACGCCGGAGTCAAAGCATCTGACGTGGAACGTGATGAAAAGTAACGAGGGAGTACTTTCGTGGAGGATGAAAATAGAATAATCATGGAGAATACAGATCTATAAATCTTGTTAGTTGAGCAGTTAGGGGGGGGGTAGCCTTCAAACTACTCGCGTTTGCCGGTTGGGACCTCGCTCTTTGTCGCGCTGACTGGCGACCTTACTTGTTAGGCTCAGCTAAGGCAGAGTAATGAAAAATTGAAGAAAAGTCATTATTGCGTAATTTCTTTGTTCAATTCTTACTACATTGTCAGGTTTGAAAGCAGAGTGAAAGAAAATGTAACTACAAAACATGTCAGTTTCTTTGTTCAAATCTTTCTACGTTGTGAATTTTGGAAGCAGAGCAAAAGGAAAATATAGGTACAAAAACATGTTCAAACATTGGCGACAAGGCGCCTTTTTGCGCGTCTGCCGCGTGGGACCAAGCAGTTTTTGTCCTATTTTCAAAGGAAGCGCACAAATGGTAGGGCGTTTATACACCAAAACAATTGAAACAGGACTAGAATTCAATGCAGGAGCTGGTGAAGCTTCAGTGTTTTTAATTACTTTCAAAATAAACCCTAAGTTTTCATGGAATCCCTCCACCTCATTCACGGGGAACGTGGGAACAAACTCGCAAAAAGGAATAATCTCGCTCCAGAAGTGATAAATTGGATTCGATCCAGATCTATTGTCGGAAGCTACCTCATCGCATTAGCTATCTGCATATGGAGCTTCGCTTTTATATATCCAAAAATTAACTTTTTTCCCAAAGGAAAACACTTCCGTTTATCTCCTCTGTAAAATACTCCCAGTGACACAACCGCATGATTTACGGCTACCTTATATTCTAGAAAGCTTTCCCGGACAACATGCTTGTTGAAAATTTGAAACGCATTCAAGCCTGTTTTTTCCTGTGCCGCATCCCAGCATTGGGACGCAATGTCCCACGCGGCAAAAAAGGTGCGTCTCAGCATTGGGACGCATTTCGCCGACGTGTTAATACAGTGCGTAACAAAAGTATGTGGACACCTCAAAATTTTGTCGTGCAAAATTGCCTTTGGATTTTGCGATATGAAACCTCTATTGTTGAATTCCACATAAGCAAAAACAGGAATGCATTGCTTCTGACCACTTTGTGAACTATTGTACAACTATTTATGGTTTTGAAAACGTTTCTTAATAGCAAAAGTATGTGGACACTTAACAAAAAACAAATGTATCGCTGGAAATACAAGGTTTTTCCCTCAGCATTCACTATTACTTCGACACTTTGTCTGGCATGCTGTGGACAAGATTTGTCATGGTGTCTTCCTCCCAAGCAGCAACTGCCGCCTCCTTCAAGTCTCGCACACTGTTGTACTGCCGACTGTTCATGTAAATTGGTCGAACCATGATCCCCCACAGGATTTCGGTTGGGTTGCAATCAAGAGAATACGCCGGCCAATCAATCACTTTGATACCATTGCGTTGGAGCCATTTTCTAGTAGAATTTGAAACATGCACGGCCGTGTTCTTCTGCTGTATCGCATGTGTCCTGGATCGTGGCCTGCTCAGAAAAGGCAATAGGTTAGACCCATGCACCCCCTGGTTCATACAGCACGATGGGGAGGCGAGCTCCAACTTTTCTCAGCTTCCAAAACCACCCCGTACCATCGAAAAGGCGCCTCCGAAATTTCGTCTCGAGAACATCAACGGATCGCTACAAAGGTCTTTCCAGTAATGCTGATATCCATCTGGACCGTCGAGATTGACTTTTTCTTATTAGTGAAGATTACCAAAGAAAGAAATGCGCATAAGATGTTGCCTTTCTAATTTTACAATTATCTCAAGAAACTAGAAACTAGAAACTGCACCTTGAATCACGACGTCGCCACGTTTTGTTTGCACGCGCAAAGTTCAGTCTTGCCAGCTGGTGCTTGGCAGTCAGGCAGGGGCTTTCTTCATGGTCTCTCGAGTGATGAGCTCACTTGATTGAATAGAGCGCCATATTGTCATTTTTGAGATCGGTAGATTCATCGCGGCATGGATCGTGCCACAGGAAGCGGGGAGTTTGAGGCAATTCTTCTGATATCTTTTGCGGACAAAGATCGTGGGTGCCTTGAAACAGGTACTGAGGGGTAGCCATCAGGACTCTGGAGGTACATGCCAACGCACGTCGCCGAAAGTCCAAGCTGTCTTGCATTTTCTCTATTCGAGTGTCCTGCAGCACTGAAAGCTCGAATCCGAGCTTCTTCATAGGGAGGACTACCACGACGAGGCATGAGTGAAGGTTAATGGGGACTAGAGACCATAAAAATGGATCGCAGATCTGGAGCCAAACTTTGGACTTCCTCAGATGTCCACATACTTTTGTTATCAGGAAACTTTTTCAGAACAATACATAATTGTACAGTAGTTCACAAAGTGCTCAGAAGTAGTGTATTCCTATATTTTCGCTTATGAGGAATTCAACAATAAAGCACTGTATAGTGTAGGGGTGAGCTTACAAATAAATAATAGGTTCCTAGAATTTGGGGTTGAGAAGGAGTTCCTCGACCCCGGAAAAGTTCATGTCTTCTTTCGTGGGAATAAAGACTTATACAGAGAGGCTTGATCAAAAAATTTCAAAACAAAATCATGGACTGTTATAAAGCAGGCACAACGCCACAATGTCATACCGATGCCAGACAAAACGTTTCCGGCGACAAATCAAGATACGAGCAGGAAGATTTCGAAAACGGTTTCCAATATGTTAGATCGTTTCTTTAGGACTTCATGACGATAACGACAGGCTTCAACAGAGCACCATTAGCCACGCAAGGGAAGGATACCAACGCGTCATGGCCATCCAGGATGGGATATATATTCCCAGAAGCATCTTCATACGCTGATTTTAGATCTGACTTCCGAATCTGCTAAACGATTCTGGGAGAGGAGTCACGGACCTTTTTTCCTACTGTGCTTAACCATTGCGGCGGGCCTCCTGCTCATACTTTGCGCTTGTGAAACCCTCGTGACACAACCACAGCCATGCCTCGATGGCGCAGGAGGTAGGTGAGCGGGCTCTTAGCGTTGGGACAAAGGTTCGGATCCTTGATGCATTTCGTAGTTTTGCTTTTCCTTGAAACGTATGCTAAAGTGCTACCTGGAAAGTAGTTCTACGCACCAGTTCGAGGATCAGGACTCCTCTCTGTGGGAGATATTTCTTTTCTACTTCGGTGAATGCATTTAAATATTATACATAGCGCTGATATGGTAGCCTAATTTGGGGCACACACTGGTGTAATTAGTGCGCAACATTGAGCGAGCACATAAGGTCTTGATACAAAATGGCGAGTTCACACGTAGGAAGAAATTTAGGTTGGCGGGAAAGTTCTGTCACTTTTTCGAACTCAAATACTTGTCCAGTACCTGAAGAGGGGTGAACGGTGATGTGAGCAGTTATACGCCAAAGAGTGGTCTTTCTATTAGTACCACTCGCTTGATTCCTGCTTCTTCTTCTTCTGCAATATGGACAGGAATGTTATCCGCTACCATCGCCACCGACCCCACCAAATGCTTCTGATAGTGCAGCGCACTTCCAAAAAAGTTCTAGCCGATCCTCATGCAATAGAGCTGGATAGCTCTCCCCTTGCAGTGGTGTAGCACAGACATTGCTGCTTCTAACTGCTAGTTGCCTCCCGTAATCAATCATACTGGACGACAAATTACGAGAAAACCTCGAAAAGTCTGAGTTCTGGCCAACATTGCGATGATGTCCAACTTTGTATCGCGCCTCCCTGCATTGTGAAGCGATGGCATCCGTGAGATGCTCAAAAACAGGTAAGGACCCCGCAGTAACATTGCTGTACAATTTTAATCTTTCACGCTTTTATGAAAAGAAAGCCCAGTTTGAAAAAAGTGACAGAATTTTCCCGCCAACCTAATATAAAAGCTCTATAAGTGAATCGCTCCGATCTCACTCCCATTCACTAGTCTCGGCACTGTTTGTCTTTGTCTGTCCCAGTCATCCGAAATGTACCCAGTTTTAGATAGTTTTTTCTGCGTGGGCGGGAAATTCGTTTCTGGGGTAGTTTGACCTCCTGGAGATGAACAACACATCCGCTCGACACGAAATCTCTTGAGCCCACGCCACAGGCGCCGGTCCTAAAATACCCCAGATCAGCGTCACGTAGCGCGGGCTCCAGGAGGTTTCGGCCAAGAGAATGTGATATTCGTATTCAGGAGGTAAAGTTAACCCAGAATGCAACTGAGCCAAGTCTGTCCAAGGGAGAAAAGTCGGTCGAACATTGCCTCGATTCCGGATGCTTGGGGTAGTGCAGGGTAAAGAGTGCAGTTTTCCCAGTTGCACAAGTGGTACTCGGTAGCAATAGTTTCGCAATTTGCTCGTCATGCACAAAAATGTGCGACTCGTCTTTGTGCTTGATCAGTAGAACGTATGCTTCATTCATATGAACCACGCATACTATACTATAGACTTGTTCAAAAGTGAAGCCCTCAAGCAATGAGAACTTTCAAACTACCTCCTCTAGCAAAACCTCCACATCCTCGAAAGTTCAGTCTTCCTCTCTTTTCGGGTTAGTGATCGCAGAATGTCGTAGATTCAGAATTCTTGC